AAATTAATAGCATCTCCTCATAACAATTTTACACATGTAAACCTACATCTGTAAACATGTACACAAAAACGTACCATCATTCACCACATACGTAACTCCAAGTAAGTATCATGTCAAAATAATTTTATTTACGTATGTATACATCTCAAAAAGTCTCATGAAGACTAACATGAATGTGTGCGTGTACAAGAAAATAAACTCGGCTTAGCGACCTACACGACATGCACCAAAATATTCTATCAACGGACTAATTAGCTAAAAAGTCAACAGAACTTAACTATGATTAACCTTCGGTCAACCTCCGAACACACGGCTCATCGAAGTCAAAAAACGTCTATCTAATCCCTCCATAATTATATAGCCTCCATCTCCTATTTTAAAACGTCCCAAATATCATTTGACTCCATTAAGACGCTTTAAATCATTTTATTAAATCACTTAACTTATTAAATGATATAACGTTCACCCTTCCCTTATGGACGATTAATTAATAAATATTAATTATCTCACTAACAGTTCGTTTACGTCACTTTTCACGATTTAGTAAATCGACTAAGGGGTTGTTAACCAAACACTTAACCGGTAAGTACTTACCAACAAAATTTAACATTATCATTGACTTACCGGATAAAATTTTAATCCACCAAAACGGTATCGTATGCAACAATTTTCATGGTAAGCGTTTACCGTGGTAAAAGTCATCGCGCTCACTTACTGGGTAAGACTCTTGATCACTGTCTCGCTCTTACCGGGTAAGATTAATGGTTCTTACTATATTCATCCGGTAAGGTAATGTGATTTGGTGTTCACTTACCCGAGTAAGCGTTAGGTAAACGGCCTCTTATGATTTATTAAAGCGATTCTAGGAACTAATATTAATTCCAACTAATTAATAATATTAAATTAAAGTTAAAATCAATATACTAATAAATCATAAAATATATTAATTAATTAAATATCTAACACCAATAAATTATTCTTCTTTGAATTAATTAAATGGCCCAAAATAATTAGCCTAGATAATTAATTATCTCATAGGCTTCCATTAATTAAAATAGCCCACATAAATAATATAAGTCTGATTGGCCTCTTATTGATTAAACGAGAAAACCCAAACATAAAACATTTAATCAACCCAGTTCACACAAGCCCGATCATATGCACGCGGACGTGGGTTAGAGGGCTCAGGCCCATGACCTGCTCCGAACAATTTCGTGCCTCCCGGACCGCCCGCACCACCTGTGCCGTCAGGCCCTGATCGCCCACATCGCGGCGCTATCGCACGGCGCAACGTTTGTGGCCCGTTTGGGCTCGTTTCTTGGTCTTTTTCTATGATTCTTTTTGAGTTGATTCCTCATAACATTAATCCTCACCCCATGACTCAAAATTTATCAAAAATGACGCACTATAAAGCCCTAGTTTCGTGATTAACATTCGGTTTTTACCGAAAATCATCATATTAACTTTTCTTGTCAAATGACGAACTTCGAGTCCTTTTTACAACCCGAAACTCTTAACAAACATAAAAGACGCATGAAGCAACATAAATAAACCCTTGCTCACAGAAACGAGCCGAGAACTAACCTTAATTCGTTAAACACTGAAACTTCATGCCATTCCTTGATCATTTTCTCCCAAATTTCTCAATTTGTTTTGCACAACACCAAAAGAGGTTTGCTCGGGAAGTCACAACGATTTTAATGAAACCATACAAAAACCGAAAAACGGTCGCTAAAATGGTGGAAAACATCATCCACGTCCCATTTTCAAACTTTGGGGACTTGGCAGGTTCCTCAAGTTTAAATTCTCACCCCTTTTTCTTTCCACCTCTTTTCATTTTTGACCCAACAAAACTAAATATATTTCTTTTATTCCCTTTTTTGTTTTTCGGGTGTTGCAAATTTTGGTTCAGGTTGAATTTGATTTTTAGCCACTTGTAAAAACCATAAAAACTACTTTCATCCGTCGTAATCTTATGAAATTTTTTCATGAAATTGTTTAATCTTGTGAAATTGTTTCATATAATACTGTTTTTGATGAAGTTGTTTCATATATGGTTATGAAATTGTTTCATATACTACTTAATAAAATTTTAATGAAACTGTTTCATGTATTTCTATAAAATTAAAATAATGAAGATGATAATATCCATGATTAACATCTTTCACAATAAAAATGATTAATCAACCTCTTATAATTACAAAAATATGAACAAAATGAAAAATTATGATTGGTGGAATGAGGTTTTTATGGTTTTTACAAATTAAGTGGTTTT